CATTTGTTCACATGTTTATTCATTATGCATCATTTTATATTTCATGAGCATATAGCTTTTGAAGATATAGGTTAAAATAATTGCTAGGCAGAAATGCTATCTCTGGCCATATACAGGATTTATTGAAAGAAGTCATTAAGCAATGAAAGGGGAGATATAAAAAGACTGCCAGGAATGCTTTAAAGTACGTGGCCAGATTCATTCCTCTGGGTAGCAACACTAAAGTTGCTCTAGGAATGAATTTCACCTGTTATTAAGGGATTCACTTGATCATGCTTGTAACTCACACAGCCGGCTCAGCTCTTCTGGAAACCAAACAAACTGTAACAGCTCTTCTGTTTACTGATGTCTATACTGCAATGTATGGTGCTTTGGGGACCCAGGATAAAATGCACCATATATCACACAGATTGTACTGGAGAGGATGGTGGTGGTGAGACAGATCTGACCTTTTAGATTAGCGAAACAAAAGCTTGTATGTCTTTTCTTGAGCATCTGCCTTGCAACCTTGTGGATTTATAGATGGATTTATACTTCTATATAAAAGCTGTTGCAACAATTAGGAGAATTAGCTGCCATGAGTGGAGGGAACTCTTCTCTGCAAAGCTGGGGGCGAGAGTGGGCAAAAAGGGACATTATTTCCTCTGCAGCATAGATTTCCACTCTCTGGGGGTATATTACTTACAGCCACACTGCAATTGTGTTCATTCGACAGAACATTGAAAGAACTGAGGGTTTTTTTCTGAAATTGGTAAAGCTCTTTCTATGAGGAAGAAGCCTTTTTCGGAAGAGAGCTCTTTCAGAAAAAGGCGTGTGTGGATGGGAAAGAGGGGTTTGTTTGTTTTTTTTTTTTTTTAAGAAGAGGCCTCCAGGAAAAAGCACAGGTGCTCTAGTGGCCACTCCATCCATAGTAAATACCATTTAAATGCGAGATAGTGTCCATTCAGTGTGGACACTATTTTTCTAAAAAGCAAATCGCTTTTTCAATGCACTTTTGCTGTGGAAAAGCTTCTTCCGAAAGAAGCCTGTATTGTAGAGGTAGCCTGGACCATTATAAATACTCTTCTTTCTCTCTGTTTCTAACATTGCTTTCTCCTAGCACTAACACACTGGAGGTGCATGAAGTTTAGGGTACACTTGGTTTTAGGGTTGCCAGTTTTGGTTGGACATATTCCTAGAGGTCTATCTCAAAATATAATCTTTCATTAAAGATTAATCTTCTATTCCTGAAGACTACACACCAATCCTGGAGGGCTGGCAACCCTACTTTGTTTGGAGGTCAGGCCCTCTGTCTCTCTCTCTCATTATGCTTTGCTGACTATGAGGCTTTTGAATGACAAATCTATTAGGAGCTGGTGCTTTCTGAAGCTGCCTTAATGTTCATTAGGCCTTCCTTTGGCTGCTACTGCAAAGCTTGCAGGGGGACTCTCTCCATGCAATTAGGCAAGTGGGTAGGGAGCAGTGGCACTGCTGGATTGAAAGGCTCTCTGTGTGGCTGGCGTTCTCTTCTCTTCCCAGGGGTCTGTGGGGCCGGGAGGCTGCAGCCCCAGCCTTTTCTGTTGGGCTTGTAACAGTTTCCCACTTTTGGGAGACGATGACGTGATCCTGGCTCAGGATGAGCTGATTTAGCCCTGGGGCTTTATGTCATCCTGCTCACTACACACATTCAGTCAGTTCTGTACTTACATCTGAACTTGTGAGTTTCTACACCTCTTGAGTACACCTCGTATCTGAGGACTTGGCTCAGAGTTTACAAATAGGAACCCTGGATCTTTTTTAGCCAACTGAATACTACAGGCAGATTTTTGCTAGGCAGTAGCATGGAGTGGATGAGACATAAAACCTGTTTCTCACAGAGGGAGGAGAGATATTAGATGGAGCTTAGAGACTCAGTGCAGATGGTGGGCTTAGCTTTTATCAGTCACCAAAATCCACCAGCTTGAGGGGCTGCAGATCTGGAAAGGTCAAATTGCTTCTGACATTTACAAGTCAGATGGTGACAGGGCTATTTTTGCCATGGATGCTTATCTCCAAAGAGCTAAGTGGCAGGAATGACAAAGTTAATGAATCAATAGAGATATATTGGGAATATGGTGTGCGAAGAAAGCAGGATCTGCACTTGGTGGGGGACTCTGGCAGCCAAAACTCCATGGCTACATCTAGATTGGCATGATTTTCCAGAAATTTTCTCCAGAGAAACAAGGTGAGTGGATAGCAATGATATCACCCTCTGGGACTCTTATCTTGAAGTGCAGGGGGCCAGACTGGCAGCACCTTCCTGGCCCAGGTTTTTCACATGGGACCAATTTATAAGATGAAAAGAGAATTTTTAAAAGAAAATATTACGGGTCAGATCCTCAGCTGTTATGAACTGACTGCACTGGAACGACACCACTTTACATCAGCTAAGGATCTGGCCTGGGGATATGAGCCAAAAACAGCAGATCAACACTGAACAGCTTTCTTTGGAGAAAATGTCTCCTTCCTATGAACACAATCATTTTATTCAGCTATATGATATGGGTACAGAATACCCAAACTGTACAAACACAAAATGAATGTGGAGCTAGGTGTTTTGCTTATTCCTCAGCACATTTTAATACTGATTCTCCTAGAAGGACAGTGTTTAAGATTGTAAATTGATAGAAAGCAATTTCAATACCATTCAGCATAAAGAAAGACTTTGCTTTTAATCCAAGTAGACAACGTGGAGAACCTGAGGAGACAATATCCTTCAGCATGAAGGTCTCTGCCTGTCTGTGTATTGGGCACAAATGTAATGGTGAATTGGTAATTAGACTCCAGGTGGATGCACAGTGAAGATTAATTGTGATCTAGGACGAGCAAGACTGTACAGGGAGAGATCCTGGAGGATGGGCTGCTTCCTAGCTGAGGTACACAGATGCATTTGGAACTGATGGGGAAGAAAGGAAGGAAGTCACAGTGAAGATTATCCCACTGACACCACCTGTGAGGACAGAAACCCAAACTGGAAGGAATAGCCATTCCTCCCTTCTTACATAAGCAAAAGAACAGGCAAGATGGAGATCAACAAAGCAGGAAGCAATAAAGGGATTGTTCTGTTTTAATAATCTGAGCAAAGTTCAGTGTAGGATCCTTCAAGAGGATATGGGCTCAGTTTGTGTTTAAGATCTCACTTGTGCCAGAGGTACTTATTTTCCCATTCACCAGTTCTATAGTTTGATTTTATTATCCTTTCCTCTCTCCCTGTCTGTCTCGCATATGAGCCTGCTACAGTTCTGGGCCTTGGAGCAACTTGTGTTATAACATCCTTTGCCACATTGCAAAGGCTTGACTAATAGAAATTCTGCAATAATGTAATAATAAGGATGGAGTGTGTAGCAAGCATTCAGCAGAAATACAGCTGACTGGAGAGTTAACTCCTGGAAATGGAGCAAGTGAAATAGGGAGTCTGTAAGTGGGTGCAGAAAGAACTAGCAATGCTGATCTGGGAAAGGCACCTGAGCAGAACTGTGTATCATAACGTCTTTTTAATATCCTTTTCTTCTTTAAATATGTGATTTGGAAACAGCGGCCCAAAAAACAGCCCTCGGTGACAATACATGAGCACAAGCCCAGTGCTGCTAATGAAGCTGAATCCAAATGTAAATCTAAAATAAAGTATTTGCTGGGAAGATGGCTAGTTCATAATCATTGCTAGATCAACATTTGCATTGCTGCTTCTACAAATGGTTATAAACTTTACCCTGTGAGGTACTATCAGTTTCACTGGGAGCTGAGTGTGCTCATTACCTCTTAATTATGTTACATTATTCTCTTAGTTATGTTACATTATTCTCTACTGATTTACTTAAATGGTCTCCGTTACTATACTAATAGGCCTGGTCTATATTAGACCAAGCAGGTTAGCTCAGGGTATGCTATCCAGCTACACAAAATGCACATCTGGTTTTATCTTACCTTAAGCCAAGCCGCGGCAGCGTCTACACTGTGGGAGACTGATGGGAGTACATGTTCCCTTCGGCTTCCCTTGCTCCTCACAGATTGAGGAGTACCTGATGCCAGTGGGGGCTGCCCTCAGCATTTGATTTGAGGTTCTGCACTAGACTCGCTAAATTGAAATCTAGGAGAGCAGCCTCTGGCGGGTCGATCTCTGTAGTTTAGACATGCCTTCAGAGCATAACCCTGACAAGCTGAATCGAACCTGGGACCTTTGGAACTTTGAGCATTTGCCTCTACCTACTGCTTGAGCTAAAAGTCAGCTGGATCTTAGCTAAGGCTGTAGATCAGACTCATTATTATCTCTCTGTATGTGGTCTTGGTGTCCCTAGGTGGGACAGAACAGCACACCCAGTAGGTGGATAGGTTACAAGAGCACCTCACAATCTTTATATTCACACCACAAATACTGTTGTCCCCATTTTAACTGCTGGGGGACTGACACACAGAGATATACCCAACATCACGGAAGAAGTCAATGGTAAAAGGAAGAACTGAATCACAGTTTCCCAAGTCTGAGACTAGTAGCCTACTCACTGAACTATCCTCTCTTTCATAGTTGCTCTCTGCCTTTTACCTAGTGAATGCTACTGGAACTGTAATGACAGGGGTTTGTTCTGCTTATTGTTGTAGCCCTTGACTCAGTACCACTGATTTATTAAATATGCAGATGCCCATTTTCAGAGGTGAGCTGCCGAAAAGGAAAAAGCAGCTGATGTGACAATACAAATACATAGATTAGATTCACATGGTACAAAAAACAAACAAACAACCCCCCCCCCACACACACACACCACTGATAGGAGAGATCACCTGGCAGGGTATTATAATGGAGGTAATTTGTTCTGCAACATTGTGCATTGAAAGGTGCCTAGGTTGAAAATCCAGGCCCCAAGCAGATGCAGGAAGCCCCAAGCAAAGGGCAGTACTACACATTTCACAAATGGTTTATCTGAGCCCACAAAGAAACGTGAGTAGCAAGTATGTATGTCCCTGACCTGCTTTTCCTGTTTCCTCAGGATGGATGACATCCAGCTGTGCAAGGACATCATGAACCTTAAACAAGAGCTGCAGAATTTAGTAGCAATTCCAGGTAATTTGTATGGCAACCTTACAAAATACTTTGAAACACAGAAACCCTTCTATGGGCCACATTCCTGTAATCCCAAGCCAGCCACAATCCCTCTCTCTGTCTTTGCCTCTCATTTCCATCCCTCTCCATGTGTTTCCTATACTTAGTTATATTTTCTAATGTCCTTAGTTTCTCTCAAGTTTTGTTTTGTCTACCTTCTGTTCTGTTCTTCTGAAATTGTTTGCTGTATTTTATATGCATCTTCATGACTGGAACCACAAATATCACTCCAAGAAACTGCATAATTCCAAGATTCGATCTCTTGAAAATCTTATGGAAATCACTGTTGCTACACTACGTTGACACATTATGTGAGGGAGAGTTGCTGAAGAAGGGAACATGCTGATAGATATGGAACACCAGGTGGTGATCTGATGGGAAATTTGGATGTTTTTTTCTTTTGTGTTTCCTAGTTAATTGTTGTTCCCTGTAAGCCAAACTCTCACCTAAGGAAATAGTTGGAAGCATGGGGCTTTCCAGAGAGGGCTGGGGAAAAGGTTTAGTCCATGTTTACCTGTATCTTTAAGGGATTGATCCTAACATGTCAACAACTTAATTGCTCCAAGCATGGGCAGAATCTTCTTTGAGCAGTGTCCTGGAGTCCTTAATCTTACTCAGTAAAAAGTCCCACTGAAATCAAGCACTTCAGGAGTGGCCTGTTCGTTATTTTAGCTTTGCAGCAGCTACCCCTCCTGTTACTTTGCAAAAAATGGAGCCACCATCTTATTCCAAAAATGAACCTAGTGCTTGACCCTACAAACATTTACTTCTGTGTCTAGACTTGGCTATGTGCTGTTGACTCCAGTGGGTCTGTGACCAAAAGCAGCATTTGGCCCATTCGCATTGATTTGACTGTATACTCCACCTTATTAATACATGCCAAACCTGCCATTCCTCACTGTATTGTGGATATATATTCTGTGAATCTGTTAGTCAACATAGTGTTACTCAGCAGCTGGGATTTTTTTCTTGGTGTGTGTGGGGAAGTATTTTTTACCAGCTTTTGAACAATCTTTATTCACTCTCTAATAACCTTTTGTAAAGGAGTGTGTAATTGCCAACATAAACCTGAGTACAAAATCAATACCATACTCACACACAAAGAGCCTAAGAATCTGAAACACTCTTTGCCTGCTCCTAGTCAGTGATCTTGCACTCCACAAGGAAATCCTTGCAGGTTCACCTCTCTGTCACCCATGAATCTACTGTAGGCAGAGGTGATCTGGGCGCTGAGGGTGACAGCAAAGAGTTTTGGTTCAGCAAATGTGATTAGTTTCATTACTGTAGGATGGGAACTATTAGGTTTATCAGAACATAGCTCCTCTTCTTTTACTAGAGTAATGAAAGGGCCTTGTATCATTCAGATGAACATTATTTCCTCTGGGGCAGAACTTTGGCTACAAAGTTATAATTAGATCTGAAATGTTCCATGAGCCTTTCAAAAGGAACGATACAGCCCACTTACAATGGCTTTAATATAAATTAACAGCCTCAGGTGTAGCTGACCCTCCTGTTTTTTTACTTAAGATTAAATGAAAATGCAAAATAATTATGCTAATTAGGACTGCATCCAGAGGATATTAGCACTCAGTGAAGCAAACCGTTCCTGTAATGACATGAGATATTTTAATAGGAATAATTTGTTCATCAACTGAGATGTTTTCTTTACCATCACTATTTGTCCTGTTAGCCCCCTGCTGTATTAAATGCAGCAGATTTGCTGTCCCTTCTCAAGCACTGCATCAGGGTATTCATGACGCATACACTGGACCTAGATTCCACAGTATGGTTCCCTAAGGAAGAGAGTTTGACAGCACAGTGTAATGCCATGTCCCTGCCATCCGGAGAGGGGACTGAACCTAAGCCTTCTATATGAGTGTCTGCTGCCCAAGCTAAAGTCACATCTTCATTAGCCAAGATTGTAGCAGGCTTCCATATGTGCACTAGACACCACTAGAGGGAGAGAGAATGCCACACTCAGTAAGGGCAGGTTACAACAGTCTTGCTGAACTCTGAAAGGGTGAAATGGGAAGAAACACATTAAGAAAATTAGCCTTTTATTTTTTAAATTAAATGATATGCAACAGAATAAATTTGAGGTCAGAATGGTTTTAAATCAGCTTTGCATGCGCTTTGGACAGGCAGAAATTATTTGCCAAGGTGCAAGGTCACAAAGAATCAGGGATGAGAGGAAAAATCTTGCTCCACCTTGTGCCCCAGCTGCAAATGGATCTGTTTGGAACTTAATATTTCATCGTAATTTATAGAAAAAAAACTAATCTTGAATGGGGGGTTTAGAAGCACAAAATCTCCCCTAATTGGGGAAAGCGTTCCCCCTGTTTGAACTCAGTCCTCTTGGTCCCTTGGTGTCCTCTTGGTCCCTTGGTATATGGGACATATTGGAACAAGAAAGGCGTGGCTGGCACACACTGCAACTATCCTTAATTGTGAAGTTGTGGAGGTGTTGTACAAGAGCTCTGCTTAGAAGAGGACTGAGGCTGCTCTAAGTTACACCAGGCTGAAGGAATTCCCTGAATCCCCAGCATCATAAGGGTGAGAGGAAGGACAGGTAGCAGAATGCCACTGTTTCCATGTGCATCCCCAGTCTGCCAAGCACTGCTGTGGTGCACCTGGTCTTTTGGCTTCTCAGGCAGTGTGTGATGGAAAGGTGTGCGAAGAGAAAGGTTTGCAGTGCAAGCAAAAACAAAACAAAACCCAGACCTTTTTTAATAATTGAACTGCTTTGCTGAGGGACACTAAAGCTGCTGCTGCTCCATACCTGGAGCCTGAGCATAAGTTGTTAAACTCTTAAATAGATTTCCAGAACAACACTGATTCACAATTGCTGCTTATATGTACAATAAGCCTGTGAGTACAATTACACTAGAAGTATGTACAAATGCTTTAGTACCTTTCAGAAATAATTTAATTTTACCCAACCAGTAGAGTGGATTTTTAAGTCTTATATCCTTATATTTGTCCATTTATCACTGTGAGAAAAACTTCATAGATAAGCAAGCAAGGTAAAAGAGATAAGCCCCCTCCCTGCCCTTGCTAGAAAGGAAACAGCAGGTTAGTCATAAGATAGGAAGCCGTCATATCTTCCTTCCTCCTCTCCCAATCCAGTGGGCAAATAGCAGCATTTCTCAGTGGGATAAGAACCTTTCCACATTTCATGCACATCTAACAAGAAAGTATTCATGTTTCCCTTTTTTTCCTTCATGACATTTTCAGCTACTTTTTCTCCAAACAATTCCTCCACATTTTTGCTAACAGATGTATGGGGAATTATTCAAGCAGAGCCTATTTTAAAAGTAACCTTTGCAAAGGACAGTGAATGCTGCATACAAATAACAGAAGAAGCAACTCATGCCAGTGTTTCTGGAGCCAAACCCCTCATTTAAACTGGTTTACTTATACTTAGGACTACTTTTTCCTAGCAGACCCTCCCACAGTTTTAATTACAAAATCTTAGTTAAATTTAATACATAGTAGTTTGTTTTTAGAGCTTAGCACATGGTGCACACTGTACCACCCATCACTTCTTTATCAGAGTCATATTTGCATATTTGACCATTCAGCATTTAGTGCCAGCTGCTGGCAAATTCACTACAGAGTATTTAAGTATTAAAAGAGGGCAAAAGGGTTAGTCAGTATAGGGCTGTTGGCCTTTGCAGAGAACTAAATGTTAGCACTGGGATTTTTTCAGTCTAGACTGAAGCAATCGTCACGTCTTTAGTGTATATTTTGACTGTGCTGTGCATGGGCATCCTCCTGCTTCCCATTGATTTCAATGGACATAGTTGCACCGAAAAGGAGGGTTGTCCCCACTATAAGGGCTCTCTTCAACAGGGATTAGGAGCAGGGTAAAAGGAGGGTAGGGATGGACAGAAAGAACAGGAAGACTTTGGAAACACATTTTTCTGCTATAGCAATTAAATTAAAATGTGTGTTTTAATTAAGAATAGTCTTTTGAAGAATTTATTAAAAACCTACATATGTCTGACTGAAGATCCAAGCATTTAAGGCTAAACACTCAGGCTATGGATATTTAGGTGCACAATCTGAGGCTCTGTCTACACTGGCACCCTTTTCCATAAAAGGGTTGCTAATGAGACACTTCGGAATTGCAAATGCCGCGGGGGATTTAAATATCCCCCGCGGCATTTGCATGAACATGGCTGCCACTTTTTTCCGGCTCGGGGTTTTGCCGGAGAAAAGCGCCAGTCTAGACGGGATCTTGCGGAAAATAAGCCCTTTTCCGGAAGATCCCTTATTCTTACTTTCAAGTAGGAATAAGGGATCTTCCGGAAAAGGGTTTATTTTTCACAAGATCCCGTCTAGACTGGCGCTTTTCTCCGGCAAAACCCCGAGCCGGAAAAAAGTGGCAGCCATGTTCATGCAAATGCCGCGGGGGATATTTAAATCCCCCGCGGCATTTGCAATTCCGAAGTGTCTCATTAGCAACCCTTTTACGGAAAAGGTTGCCAGTGTAGACAGAGCCTCAGATTGTGCACCTAAATATCCATAGAAGGATTTTTTTAGAGATGTGGATTTATAATTTTCAGCAACAAACTAATGTAATGTTTAAAGCACAATTTAAACTAAGGTCCTGTAGACATAGTAATGCACAACTGGTTTTGACAATAAATTCAGGGTTGGCACATACCTGTAAAATGGTTTTATTACCACTTAGTAGCTCTTTCACAGGTTCAATGGCAATACAACTGGCAAGCTGGAAGGCTTTTCACTTTTAAGTTAACATCCTCGTCAGGGGAAGAGTCACCAGCCTGCAACAGCTTGCTGTGGGAGCCTGTCGGAATGGTCAGAATAGGGATAGGATGAGGGGAGAGCTTAAGCACTAAGACCCGGGGAGGCATTGCTTCCCCTTGCCTCTTATATTCCCCACCCACCCACTTTTGTGGAAGCTTATGAATGGTTCAATCATCTGCATTAACAAA